CTCAGATATATACTCGAGAAAGTAGCAAGAAGAGAACCTTACTGTCACTGACCTGGTCAATCTCAACGACCATAAATCTGTACTCACCATCCTAGAGAGAGAAAGTCATTGCCTCTCTCTCACACACACACGTACTAGTCGCCGTGAAATGGGGAAGAAGCGGGTGATGTTGCCGGCGAGTGAAATTGACTTGACGGAAGTGAAATACGAGCAGGAACAAATCCAGGGTCTGAGTTCTTCTATTTTTCATTTTTCTTTTTTGAATTTGAATCTTTTTGTTTTCTTGAAATTGGGTTTTTTGGGTCAGCGTTTAATTCATGGATTGATGGTGGTTTTGCAGCTCCTCATTTGACGGGGTTGATGCTGAAGGTTTTTGTTAAGTTAATCGAAGCGCCATTGATTGGTTCTCTGATCATATCTCAATTGAAAAAGCAGAATAAAATGGTTGAGGTCTGATGGTGTTAAAACTTGAATTTCCAATGTTATCCATATATAGATATATAATGATATAATCCTATTCTGATTCATATCAGAAGAGACTGACTATAGAAAATTGTTTGTAATTGACAGATGTTGCGGAATACTGTGATACCAGAGACACCCATGTTTAAACCCGAGTTCCCTCCTCAAGGTTTGTACTTATACTCTTTTGTTGTTACCAATCATTTGTGAATTTCATTTTCATGTTGTTTTCCATTGTATATGTGGTAAAGTCATGTGGACAAGACACAACACTTACTTTGTATTTCAGTATTTATTGGACTAATTTTGTCGTTTAAATGTTTTATTGTTGACCTTTTTGTTGATCTTTTTGACATCTTGTGAAGATTTGCTTTGCACCGGTGCTTCCTTGATGTTAGGAATTAGATTAGAATGATAAACACTAGGTCTGTTACGTTTCCAGTGATGGTGCTGGAAATAACCGAGGTCCAAGGTATCAAGTTAGATAGTGTTGGATATTTAGCAGCCTAGTTTATTACGGTTTATTAAATTTTTTCTTTATTATCCTTATTGTAACTTTTATTGACTGTATATATGGGACTCTACACTTAATTTGTATCCCTTTTATTCACGTTAATTCCTTAGTTGGTATAAAGCCACAACCCTAATCCTACCCTAACCTCTCCTCTACGTCGCAGCCACCAGCCACCACACTGCCACCGATTGCCCACAAACCCACTACCTCACAATCCTAGAAGCCACCGACTGCCTACCAGCGACAGAACCACCGTCTGCCTCTTCACAAACCGTATTGCTGCCAACAAACTTCAACTTACCGACAAAAACCATGAACCAGCAACCCCATTAAAACTCAACTCACCACAAACACACCAACCCAAATCGAACAATCCAAACCACCGACACAATAACCCACATACCAACATATACCAAAACATACCAAATAGCTCATTGCCCACAGCCCAAGTCAGAACCGAATAGCCCACAAACCAAGTCAACACCGAATGGCCCACTGCCCACAGCCCAAGTCGCACCCCAGCCCACTACCCACAGCCCACTGCCCAGTCAAACCCAAACCCAACACAGTACTCACCCTAGCGAACCAGTTGGGTCACACTCTTCATCACAGTTTTGTGTTTTGACTTTGTGCGCCTGATTATTTGCGACCGTAGGACCTTTTAAGAGGGTTCGAATTCTCTTCTTCGTTGATATGCTCTTGATGCAGTAGATCATTTATTTATATTTATTAGATTTCTGGGCACTGTGACCTAATTATTTGGGAGCTTTCTGGACCTTCTTTATCTGTCCCTACTGTTCAACTAGAGGTATATTGTTCTCCTTTATTTTATCCCTCTATTTATCTTAGAATTGTTTTTCTGTCACGGGTGCCCTAGTATTATTGTTGATATGACTACTACTGAGGGACTTGAGACCCCTACTGTTGACACTTCTACCGTTGAGACATCTATTGATACTTTCACTTTTATATTTGACTAGTATATAGTACCTATTGGCACAGTTGCATTACCAGCACTGTCAGGCATGATCTCTCAGAAAGTTACGGCACAGTTGTTGAATGGTCGTAACTTCGCTGAGTGGTCTCGCTCATTCCAGCTTTTCTTAGGCCATGTAGGGAAGCTTGATTGGCTGACGGGATCTCACCTAAAGCTAGCTGATGCCAACCCTAGATATTCTACATGGTTCTTTGAGAACTGCGCTATTCTTGGATGGTTATTTAGCTCGAGGGAGCCATTTGTTTACAGAATTCACCAGTTTCATAGCTCTGTTCCGAAGCTATGGAGCACATTAACAAAGATGTATTCCCAGTCAGGATGGGCAGTACATGTTTATGAGCTTTCTCAGGAGCTCTCATATACTCGGCAGAGAGATATGACCATTCAAGATTATTATTGCTATTTGACCCAAAGCTGACTTGAGTATGAGACTCTACGTCCTCTTGCTGCTATTCCAAGGATAGAGCCCGAGGGAGTAGCATTCTTGCATATTCGAGAGCAGGAGGATAAAATTCACAAGTTCCTTTATGGGGCTTCGTGATGAGTTTGAAAGATCTCGTTCCCAAATCTTATTGATGTTGACGCTTCCTTCTCTTTATGAGGTGTATGCGATGATTAAGTAGCATGAGCGCCGCGTCCGTATTGCATCACTTCCAGTTGCAGCCTTGACTCTTCCGGCTGATCATATGACCTTTGTAGCAGATGTAGGGTCTCGTTCAGGATCCTCAGTTAGGGGTGGGCAGCGCTCAGACTAGCACTGTCAAGGTGCCCCAAATCAGAACAAATAGGGGGGATTCTCATTAGTGTGATTATTGTGGCTGACCAAGACATCTCAAGGCTGCTTGTTGAAAGCTCCATCCAGAGCTTAAGCCACCTCCTCGCTGTCGTACTACTACTATTGTTGAGGTACCATCACCTACTATCACTACTCTGTTACTCCTCCTCCTTGGCAGAGTAATATGGATGTTATTACTTTCCGATTAGATATACTTATGTCTGCTTTTACTTCTCAGAGTCCGACTACTGCTGCTGCCACTACTACAGGTATATCTCGTGCCTTACATGCTTGTACTAGTCTGTCTCTCCTATGGATGCTGGACTCGGGTGTGGATGGTCACATGACAGGTGAGGCCCATCACTTCACTACTTTTGACAAGCAGTTACATATACAGGTTTAGTTAGCAAATGGGACACATGCCTTTATTGTTAGTAGGGGTACAGTCTGCCTCCCAGATGACTTTACATTACGTTCGATTTTTCATGCGCCAAAGTTGGCCATGAATCTATTATCTGTACATCAGTTAGCCAAAGATTTTTACTGTGCGGTTGTGTTCTTATCTGATTCCTGTTATTTGCAGGACCTAAGTACCAGGAGGATTATTATCAGGGGACATGAGAGAGATTAACTGTATTATCTAGGCGATCACCTCTAGTTTCACCAGTTCCTTCATCTACATCACTTGCATCTGCTTTGTCTTTATTTGTTCCTAGCTTGCATGCTAGTATTTTACCTAGTAGTTGTCGTTATAATTTTTCGTCACAAACTGTTCAGTTGTGGCATAACCGTTTTGGACATACAAATTTTAAATATTTATGTATGTTGTTTTCTGCTTTGAGCAATACTTTTGTTGATGGTAAACTTGACTGTGTTATATGTTCCCTGTCGAAACATGTTAGGACCAGTTATATTCCTCACATGCATCAGTCACCCAAGCCATTTGACCTAATACACTCTGATATTTAGAGACTCTCTCCTATTACTGCTCTGTCAAGTGTTCGATACTATGTAACATTTATAGATGATCATACCCATTGTGCTTGAGTTTACCTTTTGTATAGAAAGTCCAATGTACTCCCTATAATCATTCAATTTCTACAGATAATTAAGATATAATTCGATGTCATTGTTCGTGCTTTTTATTCGGATAATGTCAAACAATGTGTCTGATGCTTTAGTGTCTCACCTTTCTTCTCAGGATATTTTTCAGCAACTCACTTGTCTATATACACTTGAGCAAAATGGCGTTGCTTAAAGAAAAAAGAGGAGTCTGATAGGGATAGTGCGTTATATGCTTAGAGGCATGTGGTACCAAAATCTTATTGACATTTTGTTATTTTGACTTCTACCTTTCTATGTAATAGTACGCCGAGTCGTGTTCTTCAGCATAGGACTCCCTTACAGGTCTTATTTCTTGAGCGAACACTTTTTTTGGTCTCCCCTCGTGTTTTTAGATGCACATGTTTTGTTAGGAATCGGTCTCCTACTCGTCATAAGCTTGATGATAAAGCGATTCGTTATGTCTTTGTGGGCTATTGTCATCAGTCTAAGGGGTATCGGCGTTATGATCCTATTAGGCATCGTATGTAATCTAGATGTTACCTTTATTAAGCATATTTCTTATTTTTCTTCCAGTCCTGTGTTTGCCCTCTAGTTGATGATACTCTTTTTGATTCTTCATTACCACCAGAGCCATTGGTCACTATCACTACAGAGTCATTAGTTTCTCCTCCTCCAGAGCTACTCATCCCTATCAGTACAGAGTCACTAGTCTCTCTTCCTTTGCAAGTTTATGTTCGTCGCCCTCGCTCTCATCCCCCTGCTGATGACCCATCTACCTCAAGCGATGCAGGTAATACTTATCAGTTCGTTGAGCATATTGATGCATCCGTTGTTAGTACTGATGAGATTGCAGGTACTGAGCCAGTTGTTTTATCTGATGAGACATTATCAGTGGAGGATGATGATTTAGGGCGTCATTATCCGCGGCGTGATCGTCGTCCAGTTGTTCGTTATAGTTGGACCATCAAGATTTTATATCTGATTTCTGCTTATGTTTCTTATGGTGACTTATATCCCATATTTCGAGCCTATAATATGACCTTATCAGATACGCCGGTTCCTCGCTCTATTTCAGTGGCTATGCAGGAGCCCCAATGGGTTTTTGCCATGCAGACAAAAATGGATGTTCTTCAACGAAATCATATATGGGATCTTGACTCTTTACCTTCAGGGGTAAAGCCTGTTAGCTGTCGCTGGGTTTACACCCTAAAGTTTCTTACAGATGGTACTATTGATCGTCACAAGGCTAGGCTTTTGGCAAAGGGTTTTACTCAGGTACTAGGTCGTGATTTTGGTGCTACCTTTGCCCCCGTATCTAAATTGACTGTTGTTTGACTGATTATTTTTGTGGCTGCAGAGTACTCTTAGCCTCTTTATCAGTTGGATGTGAAGAATTTATTTCTTCATGGTGATCTGGATGAAATTATTTATATGGATACAGCAATGGGCTTTTCTTGGTGAGGGGGAGTATGCTGGAAAGATTTGTCGACTACGTAAGTCTCTTTATGGACTGAAACAGTCACCACGAGCCTATTTCTTGTGCTTTAGTGATGTAGTTGTATGTTTAGAGTTCACCAGATGTCATTTTGATCATACTTGCTTTATTCGACAGAATATTTTCGGACAGTGTGTTATCCTTTTGGTATATGTTGATGATATTATTATTATTAAAGATGATGTTCCTGGGACTGCGTAGTTCAAGGTAGACCTTGAGAAGACCTTCGATATAAAAGACCTTGGATTTTTGCGATATTTTCTTGGGATTTAGGTTGCCTGTAGCAGCAGAGGTATTGTTCTTTCTCAGAGAAAGTATGTTCTGAATTTTCTCTCAGATACTATGATACTGATGTGTAAACCGACATCATCACCCATGATTCCAAATCTGAAGCTTATTGCTGAAGGTGAGGAGTTGAGAGATTCGATTGTCTATCAAAGGTTGGTAGGTAGACTTATTTACCTAGCCAACACTAGGCCAGACATTTCATTCGCTGTCAGCTGAGTTAGTTAGTTCATGCACAGATCATGTTAGCCTTATCTTGATGCAGTTTATCATATTCTTCAGTACCTCAAGTCTTGTCCTAGACTTGGGTTGTTCTATGCATCAGGATCTTAGACTGGTTCTCTAGCCTGTTATTCAGATTCAAATTATGGGGGAGTATATGACGGTTGATCTACTACGGGCTTCTGTACTTTTCGAGGAACTCATCTTATCTTTTGGAAGAGCAAGAAACAGTCAGTTGTTTCTCGCTCGTCAGCAGAGACAGAGTATTGGGCACTGACACTTGGCATATGTGAGATTATCTTACTACGGTCAATTCTTAGCGAGTTGGGATTTCCAATGACTTTTTCATCTATATTATATTGTGATAATCGATCTGCTATTTAACTTGTTTTTAACTCTGTATTACATGAGAGGACGAAACATATAGAGATCGATATTCACTTTATTCGGAAGAAGGTTAGTAGTGGTATTGTCACTCTGTCGTTTGTGGAGACTAGTGATTAGGTTGCGGATATTTTCACCAAACCTGTCACTCTATCCATTCTTCGGGACTCTATTGTCAAGCTTGGTTTAGTTGACATTTTTGCGCCTAACTTGAGTGGGAGTGTTGGAGATATAGCAGCCTAGTTTATTAGAGTTTATTAAATTTTTCCTTTTTACCCTTTTTATCCTTATTGTAACTTTCATTGGCTATATATAGGGGGCTCTACACTTAACTTACTTAACGTGTATCCCTTTTTTTTCACATTAATTCCTAGTGATAGAGAAACTGATACTAGTGCATAATATGGAATTGGGCATCAAATTTATTGCTTGTGGTAAATCAATTATAGTCCTTTGTACATGAATTGACCCGGTTAGGATGGCATGCATCTAGAACCGGAAATTGGTGCTGTTATTCTGGAGGAAAGTGGAAAACCTGAAGACCGAGTTGAAACAGCCTTGAAGTGTCTTCCACATTATGATCCTGCTGGCAGTTGGAGTGTTGATTCCACTGCATCATTCCGCTATTGGAAGATTCGTGATTATGCATATGCTTACAGGTCCAAGCTTGCAACCCCCTCTATTGTAAGTCGCTCATAGCTGTTTGGTTTCCTATTACTTTTTAGTTATTGGGAATGAATAATGCCATTTTTATCATATAGGTTGCAGAGCAATTCATCTCAGCTATGGAGGGGTTCGCTAACAAGAAGCCCCCGACACCATTATTGATTTCGTTTGATGCAGAGGATGTAAGAAAGCAAGCTGCAGCTTCCACACAAAGGTTTGAGCAAGGTAATAATTCTCTAACCTATGAAAATGAATATGTCACACCTGATTTCCACGATATCTTTATGTTTACTGTGGCTGATTTTATGTATATCTTAATTTTCTTGTGGCTGTGGATTGTGCAGGAAATCCATTATCAACATTGGATGGGATTTTCATGGCTATCAAGGATGATATAGATTGCTACCATCATCCATCAAAGGGTATAATTAACTTTCTAGTCCCTCACATTTCCTTAAGTAGTTGCCAAATTTAGCTGACTAGTCCATACAGGTGCAACAACATGGATGCATGAGGTTCGCCCTGTTGAGAAGGACGCAGTTTGTGTCTCAAGATTACGCAGCTGTGGTGTAATTCTTGTTGGAAAAGCAAATATGCATGAATTGGGCCTCGGAACGACTGGAAATAATCCTAATCATGGGTAAGTTTTGTGATTGAACAGCACTTAAACCTAGGGTCTAATAAGTGAGAAATAAGGCCTGTGCATTTCAGAGGTGTGGTGGATGGATCCTGGTTAGACATGTAAACATGTGTTATTTGTGCATTTGACCCAGAAACACTGGACTAAAATGGGAGTTTCTTTGTAAAAAATGCTTAGGTTGAAGTTGTCATGGAGTTTCTGAGTCTGTCTCTGTGCAGTTTTTAACTTTTATTTAATTGCGGAATTTGATCTTTAAAATGCATTTCAAACTAATAAGTTGAATGCTTGATAATAGCAGCCTCTCACTCATTGAATGTATTATCGGCTTAAAAGTTTTTCATTCATAGGTGGTCTTTAAAATGATTATGGATTTAATCAATTGAGACCTGTGTTAGTATGTCACTTAACTCATATGACAATTAACTCTTTGAATCTCTAAAATGCATTGCAGATTAATAATTTGAATGCGACATAATAACAGCTCCTCACTGATTGAATATATTATTGGCTTAAATTTTTTTTATTTCTTTGAGGTGGTCTTTAAAATGATTACAAGTTAATCGATTGAACCTTGTTTTATAATTGCACTTAACTCATATGACAGTTAACTCGTAGATGAGATACTTCTTAACATAGTTAAGAGCTCGTGTGAGCACAAATGCCTACTTACTTTGCTCCCACTACATTGCCTGAGACGGTCTGGGAACGCATTAACTAGGGTTACTTAATTATTGGCTTAAGATTATTGCTTATCCTATGCAGAAACTTTGAAGATCTTGCACTTTACCGTGCTATACTGTCTCCAGTATTTCTCGTATTGGTAGTACATTGGTGTGACATGGGAATATTCAGTAACAATCCCTTTCATTATGGCAGGACAACAAGAAACCCACATGCTCCAGAAAGGTATACAGGAGGATCTTCCTCAGGCCCAGCCGCAATTGTGGCTTCTGGACTTTGTCCAGCTGCTTTAGGAACAGATGGTGGAGGTTGTACAACCGTAACACATTAGGCTTGGGATGATTCTCTTTAATTTTCAAAATCATCCTAATTTTTTATGCTTGATTTATTCAAAAAAGGCAGGTTCTGTTCGTATTCCTTCTTCTCTTTGCGGGGTCGTGGGCTTGAAAACAACATATGGACGGACAGACATGAGAGGGTAAGCTCTTGAACTATGTGAATGTATTTTCTTAGATAACAGTTATCCTTCAAAGTGCTTTGTAATGTTGTGGTAACTGGTAAGAACAAACTCTAATCCAAGTTGCAATGTTGCATGGTTGCCTCCCCTAGCTAATCTTCTGATTTTTTTCATGAAGTCTATTTTTTATTTCTTATCTATCGACCTACCCATTTATATCCGTGTGATATGTGCATGTATTTGTGTAACCTGGTATTCTTTTCAGTTCTTTACTTATTGTCATGTATGCATGCTTTGCCATCGCTCAATTGCTCTTCATGTGGTAAGTAAAGGCACATTCTTATCTCTATCTGCATTTATAGGTCAAATTTGTATCCCATCCTACGTGTCATATGTTTCTGGTTATGTTGTGGATGTTTGATCTCAATTCATCGTAAAAGCACACATTTCTTATCATGCTGGACCATGCTTTTCGTCTTCTGAGCTTTTTAGTCTTTCAGGTCAATATATGCAGGGACTGTGGAGATTATTGGACCAATCGCATCAACAGTGGAGGATGTCATGCTTGTGTGAGTGGTTCACGGGCTTATGAATGTCTGTTCAGTAATTTTTTATCAATCTTTCCCCCTATGGATAAATTGACAACTTGATTGTAGTTAAATAGATGGTGATATAGATGTTTAAGTTGCCTTTATTCCCAATGGAAGCTTCTTTATGATAATAATATCACTAATTGGCTAGTTTATGTATTGTAGGGCACACTTGGATGGAATTTCACTGGATTTTATTTTAAAAATAAAAAAATGTTTAAGCCATTTAATTTTTGTCATTTAAACTTACTTAGCTACTGAAGACATGAGAGATAGGGGAAAGTAAGGTAAACATACATATGCTTTTGGGGAAAGATTGATTCAGCGAAGTTGCTTCGAGCACTGCATGCATATGCTGATTGGGCCTGACAAGTGCAATGAGACACTCTGTTACAAGCTTCGAGACCAAGGTTGATGTTTGGTCTGAAAAAGGGGCTTCAGAAGCAGATTAGGGTTGATTTTTTAGGCTGGATTTTAGTGAAGACTTTGTTAATGAATAACAGAAGAGTAAAGGTTTGAGGCTTTATTTAGGATTGAAAAAGCAAAGTTATGGGGTTGTTCAAGGTCCTGTGAACAATACTTTTGTGCCATTTTTTGCTACTATTTTTTTTTGTTGTTTTTTTTTTTTTGGGGGGGGGGAGGGGGGAGGTAATATTTGGTAAAGACTTAAATGGAATAGTAGGGCTTACAGAATTAGGATTGTTAAGCTTGAGAAGAGTGGTTTATAGATCCAATCCCATGCATATACTGCAAGAAAGAAATAGAGAACAATAGGAAAAACAGGCATTAAACTTGGATTCCCAAAAGCATTCACTGGCTAGAATTTCATCATACAACCTAGAAGAGTTTTAAAGCCCCTGGAATTATCTAAACATCTTCTCTAGTTACTTAAATTAATTACATGCCTTTACATAAAATTTTAGGCAATACTAAATGTTAATAGGTGTTCAACTCCCTATTTCATAAAAGACAATGAATTCTTAAACTTATTTAATCCTACCAGGGACCATACCTAAGGCTCTAATAATCCATCTTCATGCAACTTAAGATCCATATGCTATTACTAACAACATGTCCAGCAAATATCACAATACTTAAAATATCCAGGCCTCTAAAAACACAAGAAAAATATTTGTTAAAATTGCTTATTTTTGGAAAGGATACCGTTGTCTAAGATCCCAGGTGGGCTTACTCCTGGATTGAGCCAATTTTCTAAGCTTAGTTTTCTTTGGATCTAGAAATTCATTATTTTTCTTATGGATTGCATCCACAAAATTTCTGTGCTTGCAGCTGTAGTTTTCCAGTACCTGAGAAGTTTGGTTTGAATTCTTATTTAAAGCAAAAGCAATGTTCCACAATACATCAATTTTCATGTCGTTGTATGGTTGAAATACCTTTATACTCCAAGTTCCTGTTTTGCTTTAAACTTTGGTGCCTAACCATAGCCTTCATATGATGAAACTATTCAGTCGCACTTAATAGACATTTTAAAGAGAGACTTAATTTTTTACAGTTTGGTCTTACATATTTATCATTGTTTTTCAGGTATGCAGCAATCTTAGGTTCCTCCCCTGCTGATAGTATCTGTTTGAAACCGGTAAGTATTTTACAGTGTTATATGGTCCTCAAATTGTGCAAATTTAGTTTTCAATCTTTTTCTGAATAACAATTTTGAAAGCATTCTTTCATAGCACTCAACATCGTTGCCTATAAAAGATGAATGTGAACTTCTTAATCAATAAAGGAAACTAAGATTATAAGGATGTTGCTTTGAAAGGTACAAGATCCACCATTTGACAGTGCTTTTCCTGCATCAGAGTGTAATGATAAAGGGAGTCCATAATAAGGAACAAAAACAGTTTACTTGTGTGTCCCACTCCCTTGTTTTTTTTGCTTGTATGTCCCACTCACAGCACATTAATTGTCATATAACTCCAATCCATATTTGTTGACTAGGAGAAACCATCTTCAACTTTAAAACGACCTTGAACATCTATACTTGCCTATGCTGAAAGTTCCAGAGTTCATGCATGTTATTATCAATCACCATCTACTCTATTTGCAGTCTCTCCCCTATGTGCCAGATTTATCTTCACATGAGTGTTCACATGTTCTGGGATTGCTAAGATTAGGGAAGTATACACAGGTGATCACATCTCCCTCTACTGGAAATGGTATTAAGGTCATCGGTCTTGCGAATCATCTTATTAGTTTATGGCTTTGCTCGTGCAGTGGTTCAATGATGTATTCTCAACTGAGATCTCTGCTACGTGCGAGAATGTTCTTAATCGGCTATCGGAGACACATGGATGTAAGGTAAGGTCATCTCCCAATATTACGGGTTTTGTTGGTTCTATAGTGTGTGTGCTTGTTTAAATATATATGCATATATTAGTTATTATTCTTTTGACTTTTTATGGTCCAAGATGGTAGAGATTGTAGTACCTGAGCTTCAAGAGATGCGCATGGCTCATGTTGTTTCCATTGGTTCTGAATCAACAAGTTCATTAACGCCTGATTGTGAGGATGGGTATGTTCCTTTTCCTTTTACATGTTGTCAGTAGATAGGTCTGGTGATTCACTGAAGTTAATCGACTTCACAAATTTCAGGCTCTCAATGTTGTATTGTTCCTTAGGGATCTGTTTTAACCTGGATTGCTCGTGTCTTTTTTCTTGTGTAGGAAAGGGGTGAAACTTACATTGGATACTCGCACTAATCTGGCTCTTTTTCGGTCATTCACAGCTTCGGACTACATTGCTGCCCAACGCCTAAGGTGAGGCAACTTTTTTTTCCCAAATTAGTGGAGTCATACTACTGAAACAACTTTTTTTCATGTTTCTTTCCAATTGTCTGGAATCGAATGATATATTCTTTGTGCTTAATGAATACTGATTAGAAATATACTAGTCCTTGAATTTGTTCAAATAACAATAGCATTTATTCTAATTGGGCTGTTGAATGTTGATAATGGTCAAGCTGTCTGAAATCGAGTATCAGCCCTTTGGCCCCTTTCCATCCAATGGTAATGCATACTACATTTTACTTTGCTTGCATGTTCGGATTTTTTTTCTGTCACTTGTTCTATTCTTTTTCTTTAGAAGTCTGTTGCAACAATGCCAACCAGGGTTGATATGCTATTTGGTTTCAAACAAATAGGAGTAGCACAATTGGTCTGCATCACTAAGTTCAAAAGGTTTGGTTGAGTCTCAGATGGCAATGATTTTCTTGAAAAATGATGATAATAGAAGAAATTCTGAAGCTAGTTCCTGATGCAGCCAGTAATTCTGAATTTGCCAGTTACCTGGTTTAAGTTGTAAGTTGGAAAAACATTAATCTTTAAATATTTGCTCTTTTCAGGAGCAGAGTTATTCTATTTTCATGGGCATGTAATGATCAACTTGGCAAACACTAGTTTCTGATAAAAGAAAATTGTATAAAAGAAGTTGTTGTGTCCTTATGCTGAAGCTGGAATCTTTTTAGATTGAGAAAATTTATTACCTTGGAAGATGATCTGGTCTTTCATTCAGAGTGGATGAAACATGAATGGACAAGTAGTGTTGTCTTCAACATATCTTATAGTTGCTCTTGTTAACCCAAAACATGTTCATTATATGTTAACCATCACGTGCTTGCTATCTATGCAAATGCTTTTTGACTGCAATTTACATGTGAATGAACATGTTTTGCTAAAACATCTGGGAAAAAATATGCATCAATGTTTAAAAGGTTGCTTTAAACTGTATAGATCAGCTTCATTTGATTTATTGCAGGCGAAGGCTAATGTACTACCACATGGAGATTTTCAAGAAGGTGGATGTCATAGTGACGCCCACAACCGGGTATGATCAGTTCCTTTGCTAATTTCTTTGACAATATGTGAAACATATATTTTTGCTGGATATCCCTATCTTTTGTGTTTGTGTGAATCAGATATTATACGTATTTGAAGGCCCGATCTATTTCTGTCTTAGCGACTGCATCTTTTGTTTATTGCCATCAATTAGAATTTCTCTTTGATCTACTCCAATCAAGGTAATGTGCTTTTCCTTTTTTCAGCATGACAGCACCTGTAATACCACCTGAAGCCCTTAAATTTGGGGAGACAGATTTGCAGGTTACGGGTAGGTTGTTTGGTGTTTTTAACTTGCACATTAGAATATAGGATGAAATTAGTCAGATATAGATTGGTATTTTGGATCTGTTATCCAAATTCAAATCCAATACATCATATTGCACTTATTTGAATTTGGATATACCAATGTTCAATTCAATTTTGATTCAATGCGAATGATATATATTCATATAAAAATATAGGATGAAATTAAGATATAATTTGCTAAAATTCAAATCTAATTGAGTTATGCATATATTTGTATGTGTGCGTGTATGCGTATATAGAATGAATTTAATTTGAAATTCTGACATAATTTCATATAATTCAACCCTAATTGAGTTATTCAGCTCAGAACAAATTTTCAATTTTTCAGAGAGTGGGATAAGGGTTGTGAAAATGAAATTGATCCAAATCAGATCAGCTAACAGACCTATTTGCAGCTTTTATTCTATTCTAGACAATTTATAAATATGTTCTTATTTCAGGTAATCTTATGCGATTCGTTATACCAGCAAATCTTCTTGGCCTTCCAGCTATTTCTGTCCCTGTAAGTGATATGCACATGTAGGCCACATCAATTTCATGTTACTGATCGAAGAAATCCGTATTTCTGACATATATTTCTTTCTTATCGTACTATTGGATCTCATAGAATACTATCGATTATAGTTCGCTTATTTCATTTAAGGCGTGAAATTGGAATCATATCTAGGGGATTTGTTTGTAAGATGTGCTTATTGACAGATAGGATAGGCCTTTGAAGTCCGAAAGACCATTTTGATTTTATTCCTCTGAATGGAACATGGCCATTCCTATCAAACACAGCTGACTTCCTTCAACATTTACTTAGTTCAATAACGAAATAAATTATACGTAAGTGGGTATGATTTACTAAACTTTTCTACATTGCTTACAATACATTGCTTATGTCATGTATACTGGTTCTGTTTCTTTCTACAAAAGATACTTTATAATGGAATTTTTAAGCGTAGATAGCCTTTACATGACTTGGGAAAAAAAAATTCCTTCCATTCCATGATGCTGGTTGAAGTTTTTTAAAAATAATGGTAAGGAAATGCACTATGGAAACTTGGTGAGCCTATAGTAAGACACTAATGTAGACACTTTGTAAGGGATGCATAGAGGCTGATATATAAGCATGCTCATCAATAAGCAATCCGTTTTCTCTTGGAGTTACCAGGAAAGGGACTTATTTAAGTAAATTCGTTAGTCACGTTGCGAAATAGTTGTCCATTTCATTTTCTGAATTTATTTGCAAAATATTTTACAAGCAATCACATACCAAAATGCTGTTAAGTGAGAGTTTTCTTTCAGATTATATCTGAACTTCTTTTGACTATATCCATAAAAGTCCTGATTCCTAGCCGGAACTTTGTCAGATATCCATAGAGAACTTCCAAGCTGAAACTTAAGTCAAAACCCACAACAAATGTGCACCAGCTATAATATGGTTTTTACACCGTCTATATTCTGTGTTCAATGTCTCTCGGTGAATTTTTAAAATGAGAGCGGATATGTTCTGTATTTTTTTGCATCTAATTACTATTGTTCTTTCCTTGGGAAGATTTTGGCTTTCTCTGGCTTCCTACGGTAACATGGAATATTACAATTTCATCCCTCAACCATTCATGTACCAATTTAGGGGAAAAAAAGCATTCATTTTCATATTTCCAATTAAATAGTTTATTCAATCTAACAACATAGACCTACCAAAAAAATCTAACAACATAGAGGCATACTGTTCCTATTGTATATAGCTGTTGTGTTGTGCCTAACTCACTATGGCTGGTTGTTAAATAAGTCTATCTGCCTCAATAATTTTATTTGGTACAATAAAATTTGAAAAGAGAGCAGGACTGAACCATGGATGGAGCTGTGATAGTGCAAGGACTTTTTTTTTTTTTTTTGGGGGGGGGGGGGGGGGCATGGCTCCCTAGGTGTCAATCATTAAAGTTTTTGCCCTTAACTTAAATATAATTTTATGTGGCCCTCCCTAAAGTTTTAATATTTTGATTGCATGTTTCCTGGTTGGTTCCCTACTTCAAAGTTTTTGGCTCCGTTACAGGATTGAAACCATAATATTTGTAATACTTTAGCACCATTTTCATCTTTTCCGATTCTGTTAGCTAATTAAGCTTTCATTTGATTATTTTTTGTCTCAAAATGTTCAGGTTGGTTATGATAAGCAAGGACTTCCTATAGGTTTGCAAATAATAGGCCGTCCATGGTGTGAAGCTTCAATTTTGCGTTTGGCTGCTGCAGTAGAGGTATCGTTTACTATTTCACCTACAAAGAGAAGATGATCATGTTCTCTACAACATACCCCCCACCCCACACCACCCCAATTTTCTTTTTCCCTTTGTCAAAATGGAGCATTAACGCGACATTCTTTACGTTTTCAGGGACTTTGTGATAAGCATAAGAAGAGGCCTGTATCATTTTATGACATCTTAAAAGGGAACTAGCAAAGCAGGCTTTCACTTTGTGCTGCCCATGGTTTATTTGGTTGCATGATCTCTTGTCAAGAGTTTCAAAACTATCAAAAGATCATATCCAATGTACAAAACTTTCGTTTGTATCGACGTCAGGGAAAAGTGCTCTTGTTATAGGCTTAAAGTTTATGTTTGAGCAATACTGTATGATGCTGTGATCTGAAACAAATGGCTTTACAATTCCTTACTTCTATTAATGGGAAACTAAAACAATAAATTTTTATGTCAAAACCATTTAAGTTCAAACAAATGCAGCTCTCTCTGTGTGTGCGCATATATATATCTATACACATACACCAAATTAGATGAGAAGAATCGTAAATGATAAACATGAGAATAGGATAAATAATGAATTTGGATATTCATCACGTTTCTATGATTATTTTTAGTGATAATTCATTCATACTTTATTGGCAGAAACTTTTGTATATAAGATTTCATTTCAATTCATCGTAAGTGATCTACAGTTTAGAAAAATTGAAAATTGTGTTTAAATGCATATTAGAATGAAAATTCGATAAAGTATCAATAAAAAGGAAAAATAAAATTATAGTAGCATTTGCTTTTCTCGTTAACAAATCATAATTAATAATATTTTGGACACAATATTGTTAAAGATTGTCGGACAAATGTCAAATATTTAAATTTGAATTTATTTTCCTCGAAATTTGAATTTATCCATTAAATTATTTTATATCAAATCAATGTTTTTAAGCAAATATTTACACGAATTTAAGCAAAACATTTAAACTTGGACGGAGATGATCTACTTAAAACTACAACCTTCTAGTTTAGAGCATCTCTAAATAGACCATTTATTCTCACTCAACTTTCTATTTTAACGACCCAACAGTCAACAACTAAAACTTCATCTTCAATAGACTCTCTATATTTGAGTGTTAAATTCAATCACTTCTCGATTAATTAATAAATGTAAATATCATAAATATATATATTTAATTAAATACTTTAATAGTAGAAGTTATTTTGCCATTAGAATAAAGAATCTTATTAAAATTGTTAAAAATATTTCACTTTTTATTTTATTTTGGATTAATCTTATTTTGTACCCTAAAAACATTTTAATTCTCAATTTATACCCGTAAAAAAATGAATTCTCAAATTATACTCTCAATATTATAAAAGAAATGCAATGTAGCCCAATTCAAGGGTGACATTTAAGATTGAGGGTGCAATTTAAGCTTGAATTGAAGCCACATTGCACCTGTTTTATAATATTGAGGGTGTAATTTGCTAATCTACTTCTTTAAGTGCACAAATTGAGAATTAATGCATCTTTTAAGGTACAAAATAAGATTAACCATTCAATTTTTCATCAAATATTCAAAATAAGGACTATCAGAAAAAAATATTGGGTTTAACCAATTCAATGATAAGATAACATGTAGGTTGTTGGATTTTACATATTCTAGTAACTATCATATCATGTCATTTAATAACCACCAAAATAGGGTTCGCCTTGTCTATTTATAGGTTTGCTAGTTATTATTCATGCTTGAAAAGACACTCTTAATAAAAAAAAAAAAACTCGTCAAGCAAATGGAGCACCCAAGAATGTCTTAAATAAAAGAAGTCCAACAGTTGAAATGAAGAAGAATCATATTATAATAACACAATTGAGAATCCTCATGAATTTAAATTAGCACCATTACAAAATTATCATGTCATATATATCTTCATGACGATTCTTCTCTCCATCAAATGAGTTATCATTTTTTCAACCTCTAGCTAAGTCTAATAAATAGGCTATCTAGTTTTAATAACAAATATCATTAAGAACATACAATTAAATCATTAAATTAAATCAAACGAATCAACCACATTGAACTACAAAAAAAAATTTCAAAAAAAAAAAAAAAATCCAACTGAACTAACATTATCCAACGAAGACTAATAAGGATCTTTTTTGTAGCGGCGAGGGCAATTGATTTAAATTATCTCTCGTTGTGATTTCTTGGATGCTACAGAAATATTCTCACACTGTAATTAAACTAAATCAACAAAAACAAAATTTCACTACTTAAAAAAAATAAAAATTGATTTAACTGATTTTTTTTTAATTCGGTGTCTATTTTTGCACTATTCAAGTATTCAAAAAATATGAACATTAGAAAGAGGAAAATGATGCAAATAAAAAAAAAAAATTATAGTTGATTTTGAATTTTTGGGGCAATTGATTTCACTTATTTTTTTTTTATTTGCCATTGTTATTTTTTTATTGATAACTAGTTTGATTTTGAATTTTTGTTATTCTTTTATCAGTGATTAGCTTATTTATGAATTTTTTTTGTTAGTGATTAACTTGACTTTAAATGTGTACAACCTAGAATTTTTTTTTAACATTTAAATATTTTTTCATCTATAAGATTATACAAATATTTTGAAGAAAGAAGTCCAATTAGAATCGTTAAGATAAAAAATGCTAAGAGAGAGAGTATAAGATAGAAATAAAATGAAAGTCCAATTAAAATCGTGTGTATATATATGTATATATAGAGAGAGAGAGTTATGTAAGAGGTGAAAATTTTAGAGTTGTGTAAAATTTTTTTTACCATCATTTATATAGATTATTAGATTAGATGGTGACGTTATGTATTAATTCTCAACTATCAGAGATGCACTCTACTTAAATAATTACGGAACGACGTTGTTAGGCTACGTGACCGAAGAAGAAGCCAACTTCGAAGCAGTGCTCTCTGAACCAGTTTTCCAGTCTTACAGATCTCACAGAGCATTCAATCTACCAGATCGTATAGAAGTAACCGAAGTCTCTCTCTCTCTCTCTCTCCAAATTCTCCTGTGCGTGTTTCTTAGCCAAATGATCACAAGAGATGATTAAAAATGGCTCCGAAGCCACCACCATCGCTCTTCACATGGCTGATATTACCGATCATTGTACTCATCTTCCTCTACTCCACACTCCTCCCTCTCTATACCCTTTCATCAACCAATTCGCAACCTCGAAAACCCAAAATCCCAATTTCACCCAAATGCAATCTCTTCGAAGGCCACTGGGTCACAGACACAAATCAAAAACCCATGTACGATGAGACATGCCCTTTCCACAGAAACGCCTGGAACTGTTTAAGGAACAAGAGAGACAACATGAGTCTGATCAATTCTTGGAAATGGGTCCCTGGAAAGTGTGAATTGTCGAGGATTGACCCTTTTGAGTTTCTGGGTCTGATGAGGAACAAGAATATTGGGTTTGTTGGGGACTCTTTGAATGAGAATTTCTTGGTTTCGTTTCTGTGTATTCTCAGGGTTGCTGATGAGAGGGCAAAGAAGTGGAAGAGGAAGGGGGCTTGGAGAGGGGCTTATTTTCCGAAATTCAATGTCACAGTTGCTTATCATCGAGCTGTATTGCTTGCCAAATACAAGTAAGTAAATATGTTTTTTGTTCAGATTGTTGATTGCATAGCAGCGGAACCGTGTAGGACCTAGCAACTGCATATCTTCATTACTTCTCATAGTTGAATTATATAAATTGGTGGGCGACTTAAAAACATGGCACCTAGTCTGGTGTTTGTGGTAATAAGTATTAGTTAGTGCTTAAGAATTGGATTGTGGGGTTTTATTTTGTTGTCCACAAATTGAGAGGAATTACTGTAGTCTTTTTGAGGCATTATGTATTGATAATACTTGTTTTCAATAGACTTATCCAGCATTGGCTTTTACTTTATTTTTTATTTCTTTTTGGAGCTCATTGTGGCATCTATTCTCTCTTTATTGGTGAATGAGAGATATGTGCATTGAAATGCTGAGAGAAATTAGATTGTATGTTTCGTTCCAAATAATAGTGACCATAAACCAAGTTATTTGGATCTGAATTATGAGTTACACTATGAAGGACAGATTATATGTTCCAGGAGAATGCAGCTAAGCTAGAATCATTGAAATGGAGGTATTTAGATGTAGCTATCAGAATCAATCTGTTGATTTCAAACACGAGTATCTCTATCCAATGTTATCCTTGTACCAAGAAAGTTTATAATTTTGTTTTTATTTTTTTGCCCAAAACCATCTCCCCATGGTTTAATCCTTAGTTCAGATGCATTTTTAAGAGTTCTAGGGTTAATTATCATCGGCAGTCGCCCTAATCATCTAATCCATCAGAAACGGAGATGAGAGTCATTCAGCATGACAATCTGAGGGCAATTTTAAAATGTTCTACGTGACAATGACAATTTCCTTCAAGTTTGGGATTGTAAGCCAAAGTAGTAAATGCATAATCCTAGTTGTTGATAAGTGGTGTTTTATATTAAAGAGAAAGAGATATACTCTTTCCTTATTTGTTTTACTCTTTAAGGGATTTGATGGGTGGTTGTTTAGCTTTTGCCTTGGTGTAATTTAATTGAGAATCCTGTTTCTTCTTAATTTGACAAATGGGTTGGTTCATAATATTCTGAAATGGCAAACTTACGTGATTGCTATTGATTAAATAAAGGTTGCAGCCAAAACAATCAACTGTTTTTGATCAAGAGGGATTGAATGGCATACATCGAGTAGATATTGATGTTCCGTCAGAGGACTGGGCAGGCATCATTAATTTTTATGATGTTCTGGTTTTCAATACTGGCCACTGGTATCTCTCTCTCTCTCTCTTTATCTCTCTTACACACACACAGACATTTTTACCTTTTTGCTAATTTATGAAAGTAGCAATTTTGTGAATGTGATCAATATTTCAGTTGTTTCCATGTAATGGTACTGGTGTGCTACACTTATATGAGTGCACAGAGAATTTCTTGAATATACTTTTTATAGGTGGCATGCCTGTGTTGTCATCAGTGGTCGGAGTCTACCTTGATGATAAGATTGAAATTTAGTATATTGCTGCTTGAATAAAGAAATGAGAGCATGGATTGTCTTCTTTCTTTGCTTGCCTATCGAAATTCAAGGAAGCAAATGCTCCCTTGTTTCCAGCCCACCCTCTCTACCTCCTTTTTTGTAGCCCACATGCATAGGTGCACCCTTGAAAAGGAGAACACTAGAAAAATAAGGAAGAGAAAAGGAATTAAAATGGTCCCACTTGCTGTCATATTTGCTTGTCCTGAACTTAGTTGGCAAGTAATTTTATCTCACTTCAGTGATGTTGGGTGGTACATAGGATGCTATGCGCACTGTATTTGTCTTTTATACATATGAAGCTATTTGAAACACATTGTGAATTTAAGAATTTACTTGCTTGTTGATCTTCTTTAGGTGGGGCTATGATAAATTCCCAAAAGAAACACCTCTTGTTTTTTACAAGGCTGGGAAACCAATACTTCCTCCCCTGGGGATGTTGGATGGACTTAAAGTTGTCCTTGACAATATGGTAGCTTACATACAGAAAGAATTCCCAAAAAAGACGATCAAGTTCTGGAGGTTGCAATCTCCAAGGCACTTTTATGGTGGTGAGTGGAATCAAAATGGTAGCTGCTTGTTGAATGAGCCCCTTGAGGAACACCAGGTATGAACTGATACTATCTCCATTCCTTCCTTTTCATGCTTCCAATTTTCCTTTTTCTTTTCCAATTTTCTCCTGATCAACAAGGAAGGCAAAGTCCTGAAATTTTGAAAACTATACAGGAATCTACTGGATCTTTTACATTGTAATGTTTAAATATATGAGAAGAGTTCATACATGAAGAAAATGCTGAATTTTAGAATTTCCCCAATTCTAAATTGAGGGCAGAACTGCACTCCTATTGCTAGATGGAGGAAATGACTAATTGGCCTTAATCTTATTCATATGCAGTTTTACTTTTTCCTTTTCATATAATAAGTGGAAAGCCAGAACTTTTCTGGCATGCCCTCCTATACCTATGTACTCCGTATCTGTGTTGAAACCAATACTGATACCTGAACAGCTTGACTTGTGGTTTGATCCCAGCAACAATGGGGTGAACAAGGAAGCAAGACAACTGAATAGTGTGATTGAAGAGGCATTGCGAGACACGGATATCAAAATACTTGATCTGACTCATTTGAGTGAGTTTAGAGCAGATGCTCATCCAGCAATTTGGTTGGGAAAGAAGGATGCAGTGGCTGAATGGGGTCAGGACTGCATGCACTGGTGCCTACCGGGTGTTCCTGACACGTGGGTTGATATCTTGTCGCAGTTCATCCGATACAGCTTGGAGACAGGGTAATGAATGGTGAAATGTATGTTGTCAAATTTCATGGAGATCTGCATTTTTGTGAATCCCTGCAGGTCTCACAGAAAATTTTGAGCAGTTTCTTTCCGCAGAGATCAAATCTAGATATGAGAAGCTGTTGTTTTACTTGTCTGCATATTCCCTCGAGTTTCCTCAGAAACATGAATGCTATCATTTCAGCGGAGAACCTGACCACCAGATGATCAAGGGAAGCAAGAAAAGTTCAGTCAAAGGGGAGCTAAGATTGGATTATTCTACAATTGAACTGTCGAATTTTGTAGGACAAATCATCATCATTTTTTCACTTTGCTTTCTGTATGCATTATCATTTTGTGTTTTTGTTAGAACTTCAAAACCTATCACTCCATATTGTGAGCATCCAAACTTGTTCAGTATGTGTTGTTTTATGCAATTTAATTGACCTCATTATTTATTATTTATTTTTGGTTCCTGAGTGGTAGAGAAGATGAGTTTAGGAAGAGGACCTTTTCATGTTCCCAGGCTTTGAGCATGTCGAGTTTTTTTGTGGTAATGCTATCTTTTAAATATACTAGCTGAATGAATCAATGATATTGAATCTCTCGGGGTTTTTTTTTAGTTCAACAGTCAGGGTCTTCGAGTTAGCTTGTATACTCTTCGACTAATCTCTTTCTCGGTTTAATTAAAGGCAAGTCATTCACTCTACGACTAGAATATTTATGAGGTTTTTCATGACCCAAAAAGTTGTCAATGATATTAAATCTCTCAACACACTAAAATATCTGCTGTTCCTTTTGCTCCAGGTGCTAATCATAAGTATTGGTGGCAGGGTTTGTGACAAGATACAAAAAAAGAGGAAAAAAAATGGGTCATGTAGTTAGGTCTGATGTGGGTAATTTTAGATACGTTTTGTGAATTTAACATAAAATTTGTTGTGTGGTTGAATCTAGTCTAAATACGTTCCGATGATAGATTAGTTAATATGTTATATTCGTCAAATTGACGGATCGCTATAAATCTAGTTAAATAGAATACAAATTTTCTAAATATTGTCTTACTATAATACGAATTTGAAATTGATGAATTTAATTAAATAAATAAATCGAGTATGAGATTGACCAAATTTTAACATAATTTTATCCCCAACTTAACACTATCACCTTTTGCATCTTAATCCTCAGCCTCAACAGTTTTCATCCCTTAATCTCCAAGCTGATACTTAATTCTTTCTTTTTTGATTCGTTGCAACTTAATCGTATTAAAACAAAAAACTTTTAATATTTAAAACTGATACAAAACCATTTTTGAAATTTAGTTTTTTTAAAAATAAATTATCATCCTGTATAATTTTCAATATCTTAATCACATTTAGAGCGGCCGCATTTAGGACTATCAATTAAATTGAGCTACTCGAGTTCGGCTTGTTCAGGCTCGGTTTGTTTTCTAAATGAGCCCAAATTTAAACAAATTTTTAGGCTCGTTTAAAAAACAAATCCTACAAATTCAGCTCAAACTCGACAAACTCGACTCGTTTATGGGCAAATATTCAAGCTCGGATCAGACTCAACTTGTTTTTGGCTCGTTCAGGCTGACTCGTTTTTTAAACAAGCCAAACTTGAATAATTTTTTAAGCTCAATTAAGAAACAAACTTTTTAAGTTCGCCTCGACCTCGTTCAACTAATAGTCCTAGCCGAATGTGTGATATATAGGCTAAAAATGATATTTTTCTATTCTTCATGTTTACTTAGGGTACAACTTTGGCTGTCTAGCTTGAACTTAACTCAAATTCGGTCTAAAAAATAAGATTTGGGTTAAAGTTTTTAAAATTTTTGAGTTGGACTAAAGCTAAAAAATCTCAAATCGAAGTGAATTCGAGCTATAAATTGGGTTGAGGCTTTGGATTTATGGGGTTCAACTCAAACCTAACCCAAATTACTAAAATCGGACTCAACTTGAATTCAAAATTTAGATTCAACAGGAAATTAAGTGTATTTTTAATTTAAGTTGGTAACGTTATTGTATCATACCCAAAATTGAGCCCAAAATTAAACCTGAATTAGTTAATTCAAATTAGGCCCAAAATTAACTTAGACAAACCTCAGATTAAATTTCTGGGGTTAGAAATCAGACTCAGGTTGAATTAAGATTAAAAATTTTAAAACTCGGGTTGAACTTGGATCGATCCTCCAACCCGCCCGGGTAACCCATATGTTCCCTTCCCTCTGAATCTAGACACCCCAACAAAATCAAAACCCTTGCTATTCTGAAAATCACAAACCCCAGCCCCATCAACCAAATCATCCGATGGCTCTAAGGGTTCATCTCCTCTGCCCAAAACTTCTCCCACAGCCCCTGAAATTCCAAACCCATCCTTTCCCCTCCATGATTTCTGTCACCAACCCATCCAAACTCCAAACCTCATGCACCAAAAACAAGAGTCCCAATGATGCAGATCTTTCATCAGATTTAGCCACAGAGGTTGAAAGATTAAATACCCATTTGGTTCAAAGAGAAGAAGCCATGAAGAAGAGCAGAGAGCTCCTGTTCACAGAGCTGTGCCAGTACATGGACCTGAAATCTGAGGAAATGAAGAAGAAATGGAAGCAAATGAAGGAAGAAGACAAGTGGGTTTTGGTTAAAGAGTTTGTAGCTGAGTGGAGTGCCAATTTTCATCCATTGTCAGCAAGGTCTGTGAAAGAATTGGTTGATGAACACTTGCTTGAAGAAAACCCATCTCCAAATTCTTCTGATTTTGATTCTGATTCTGATTCTAATTCTGATTCTGTATTGTTTCCTGGTTTGAAGAAACTAATGGGGTTCTCACCCTAGAGAGTTATTGGAAATTCTATTGGGTTTTGCGATGGTTTATTATTGAAACTACATTCCTCTGTCTGATACGTTAATTCTTTGGTTCGATTAGAGTATCGAAAACATTTCAGTATTGTGTCGCTTATTAATTTTTTTTTTGAGTATTTATATTATTTTTTTTGGTAAAATTTATTAACTTTTAAATATAATTTTACCTTTTAGGATCACTAGTGAAATTTAGGACTTGATTTTATTAACTTAATTTTATCACGAAATTTTTTTGGAATCGTGACTCTCATTTTTACTACTTTAATGGTTATTTTTATAATTTTTGTGAGTTATTTTATGATAAAAAAAATTTATTATTTTTATGGATAATATATAAATTTTTTGAATATTTTTATTATTGTTGTAAATATTTTTAACACGTGAATGATAATTATTTTTATTATTTTTTTTGTATAAAAAAATATTTTTTTATAAATAGAGATATAATACCCACCCTCTTTTGAGGTACCGATGGTCAAAGGCAAGTTATTATTTATTACCAATAAGTTGTTGACTTAGTAGGTAAGATTTTGAGTTTATTTGATCAAAGATTGAGTTCGAGTCTCTAGTTATGACAATTAGTTGTGACTAAACTTAATCTTTAACATCCAGAGTATATGATGAGACCTTAATTTTAACCCTGACGTAATGTAATTTCCTATTTGGTTGACTCCAACGTAGGTGCTGTGCAGTGCAGTTCTATATAGATAACTGTGTGGTGTTGATGGACAATGTTCTTTAGTGGATATATAAAGTGAAATATCTGTATATATATTTTTATATTTTTTATATAGAAAAAAAACAGGTTATTCACACTTAGACTAAGGTACGAGAGAGAAATAAATCTTTCATGATTTGATTCTAAAAAATTATTAAAATTTAAACTCAATATATCTAAATTAAAGTCAGACTCTGTCCTGAGATTAGAAATGACCTTATTCATGGAGGACTATCTATGGATTGATCAATGTGCACTGAATATCACAGTCATAACGCATTTAATTAATACACAAATTTCATCGTTAAAATCAGCAGAAAGTTGATAGAAAATCAAAGGGAGAGATATATTAGTTTCAAAGGACCAACTTTCTTTTTTCATCCAATATAGGAAATCATGTTTGTGTCGGTTACCGATGGATTTTTGGTTTAATGTTACTCTTTATTTTATGAATGTTTTATCTTTTTAAGATTAAGGTTAAAGATTTAAGTCCCCCTCCCTTTCCCTCCCCTCGCCCAAAAAAAAAAATTTGTGTCAGTTACTATATTCAATTTTGGAGTAATAATGGTAAAATAAGCCCCGACAGAGGTGCTCTGCGGCTTCGGAGGAAGAGCTCCATAGCTCGGAAAGGTCCAACTCTACGTTCCAATGTTGGTTTATTTTTTATGGAGTCTAGTTTGTATATGTGATCCGGATGATGACCTGACCTAAAATAATGTTGTGTGGTTTTTAATGAAAAATTTTCTGAGGCTTAGTCCATGAAGCGAAGGCTTGGGCCGATAGGCCCAAGCCGTAGCGCTCATGGACAAGCCTCGTGGGGGTTCGGGGGCAACGCCCCCGAGGAAAATTTTTTTGGGCCCGTTATACAGGCCAGTGCGTAGGACATATAAACCCTGTTGTTTTGGTGATTAAGGTTAATCGTGTATGGTACAGCCGCTCTCTGTATTCAACTCTCTCAATAGTGAAATCCCTGCAGCTTCGTGGACGTAGGCAAATTGCCGAACCACGTAAAATCTGTATCTTGTTTCTTATTGCTTTATATTCTTGATTTATTCTTCGATTGTGTGTGTTTGTTAGTGGATTCAAATCGTGAGAAATCCCAACATCCAACTCACTAGTTCCTTAGTTTTGCACACTTTAACTAATTCCAATTAGTTGAGATATTCTGACTATAAGACGCTATCTATTTCATTTTTAGTATTTTTTAGTACCATTCCATTCAAATAACAGTTAAAAATCTTTCAACGGTCCAATTTTCTAGCCTACAAAAAGATCAAGTTGGACACCATCAAGATAAGTTGACTACTCCCAATTAGATAAAATCACTTTCAATCATTCTTTTTTGACTTTATCATCGAAAGATCAGCCACTAGAGCCCCACCCATCCTCGATTTCTCTTGCAGGAATACCCCCACTGGTGGTAAAGGCATAATTCCGATCAACCATATCGGAGGACATCAACAGATAGTAACAATAACATGAAAATATTGGATTTTATCTTCTTTTTTAAAAAAAAAAAATAAAACGAATGCAACGGGAACACACGAATAGGTGATAGCATCCCCCAGAACTTATATTTGCAACATGCTCCACTAATTTTCATTAGCATTGTCCATGGTGAATCCATAACCAAGCGCTGACCATCATCCAGAAAAATGTAACAATCCTGCTTGAATCCATATTCCTTTATTTGATGAAGTTTTATCTTCCTCACATTTGAAGATGACATTGGAAGAAAGAAAGAAAAAAAAGCAACTTCTCTCGTTTTAGGAATGTTTATTAAAGAATAAACAACAGAAAAATGCCAAAAATTATACAAAATAGAAAATTAGATACAGTAATTGAGAACTCGGGGGTAAATAAAATTGGAGAGGAGCCAAACCTTTGATTAGCCAGGCATCTGAAATCTTGAATAAATCAGATTGGTAAACCGCAAGTTATAAGAAGTTTGCAGTAGGTGTCACTTTCATCCGCGACAAGGATAACCCTCGGTTACAAAGAAAAGCTCTAACTGGAAAAATTTGATCGCCTTCCCTACCGTACTATACGCTCATATCCGTGTATATTCATTCCTACCATGGAGAATATCTCTTAATATACAACGCAGAGACGTATAATGGTGAAACCAAGTGAGGGACACACAAAGCCACAAATACAACAGCATCCATATGGACCCACCGCTCTACCAAAATGCATAGCACCAACGTGGTGAGAAATACATCCTGAGTTTTGAAAAAATGGTGAACTTGAAACAACAAAGAAACCAATTCCAAGAACATTACTTCTGGGACTGGTCCATCTTGGCTCGAATCTTTTCTTCCAACATGGAAATCTCTGTCTCAAGTCCAAATATCCTGTTAAGAGCATGCATGTTCTCGAGTATCTCACTTAGAGTCCGGTTGTCAGTTCCATCACATCTCAGGTGCTGCATTGGACCATGTAGGAGCTTGTTTACTATACCTACACTAAGATCATAAATTGCTTTCTTTTTTGTCTTTGAAATATCAACATCCATCTTTGACAAACACTTGTCGAGCTCGGAAGCCCTAATTCTCTCAGCATATGCCCTAAGCTTTTTTATGGTAGGAACAGTCTCAAGAGAATCCTTCCAAGCTTCAAATTGTTTGACTTCCTCTGAGATTATTGCCTTAGCTTCCATTGCTTTCAGGAGCCGATCCTCCTTGTTAGCTGCCACGACATCCTTGAGATCATCCACATTGTAAACACATGCAGTTTCAAGGTCAGAGACACATGATCCTACATTTCTAGGAACGGAAATATCAATGAACAGCCTCCGCCCTCCAACTTGAGAGTTCACAGGGGGAAGTGTCTGAACATTCTCTTTCAAGAACAACGGGGTTTCTGAAGCAGTGCTGGTGAAAACTACATCAGCTTCGGCAGTACAAGCCAGCAATTCGGTGAGAGGTTGGTAAACAATTTCAACGTCCTTGAGCTCCTCACGCAAGGCAGCAACTCTATCTTCAGTTCTGTTAACAACCACCATTTTTGTGCACCCTTTTGCAACCAAATGTTTGATCACAAGTTTCCCCATCTTGCCTGCCCCAACCACCAACACTCTAGCAGTAGTACAAGAGTATGTCGGGAGTTTCATTAGGGCAAGTTCCACGGCAGCTGAACTGACTGACACTGATCCTGCAGAGATATTTGTCTCGGTTCTGACACGTTTCCCAACCGTCAGAGCATGTTTAAAAAGCCCGCTGATTTTTCTACCAAATCCCTGAACTCCCTGTCCAGATTTTACAACATGTTTCACCTGAGCAAGAATCTGACCCTCTCCGAGAACAACAGAGTCCAGGCCAGCAGATACTTCAAAGAGGTGCCGAGTGGCATCTTTGTTATTGAGCAAAAATCGGTGACGACAAAGGTCTGAAACTGAAACTCCACTTATCTGCAAGCAGAAATATACACAGTCATTTGCAAGTTTGTTATAGGCATATGCACAAACATAAAGCACTCTGCACAGTACTAACTCGGGAAACTACAACGAGGCACTGTGATGTGATCGATAAACGTTACACAGGTTGGGAAGGCATACAACATTACCCTTCTACTATTCTGTCACTTCCTTTCTTTCTCAAACAAACAAATCTACTTCGTCCATGTTAAGTCATATTCATTCATCTTAGGCAGATGATCAAAGTTTTCAGAAATAAAAAAATGAAAAATATAAAAGAGGATGACATCTGATGGCAGAAACCAGTTCTGAAGGTTCAGAACGTTGAATAAACATCCTTATATATATGGAATTTCTATGCAATGTATCCTCAGTCTAAACCACAAGGGCCATATAAAAAAATAACCCTAATATTTCCAACTAACTAATTTATTAAGAATGAGAAAACACAGACCTTAATTTTTTTTGGGAAGTGGGGAGATGTTAGTCCAGTGCCTTATATTCTGCATATATATGCAGATGTGTATGTATATAAATATACTAGTCCTACCCCGTGCCGAAAAGCACGATGAAACATAAGATTCGAATGTTCAAAAAATTGATTCTATTATACTAAATAAAATTTTTTATTTCTTCACTTATTTGATTACATTATTTAAAATTAATTTTTACCTATTATTTTCTTTAAAATAGCGTTAATTTTCTCAAAATGTATAACTAGGCAAAATTTTCTAAACATGTGTATACTATAATGTATGGACAAATAATGAAATAAAAATTGTGTTAAATTACAAATTAATCAAATATTAAATAATTAAACATGTGATAAAATTGGATGATGTGATGTTTTCAGGTGGAAAAATATGTAAGGTAAAATTAAACTT